TCCAGACCCCAGCTAGGGCAGGGGACAATCTGGGCCCTCCCCTTTAAGGTGGGATTTTTTGCCTGCCAGATGCTCTTGGTATCGCCCATGATGAAATGCTGCCACCTGGTGTCAGGCTCAGGTACTGCACCCTTGGGACCTCATGGTTCTGTCGCCCCCCCATAACATGTGCTGTGTCTTGGCTCCAGGGTCTCCCCCAGGGTAGCAGGTGTTGGGGTGCTGGGGTTATTGCGGGGTGCGATTACAGGCCTCACCTGTCACAGTGACGTTCACAGCCTGGCTCCTGGGGGATGGGATCCACCTGCCGCTCATGTTCGCCTTGTACCCGCAGCTGAATTCCCCGGTGTTGCTGGGACCGGCCCATGGGATGCTGAGCACAGAGAAGTTCACAGAGCTGGTACTGGGCTCTGTGGTGCTGATCTCAGACCCTGTGTCCCCAGAGATGATCTCAGCTCCGTCCTTGTAGAAGTGAAACCTCCTCTCACTGGTGTTCCCAGGGGCCGTGCAGGTGATGAGCAGGGGGAGCCCTTCGCTCACCACTCTGGACAGGGGATCCACACTCAGCTGTGGCTGGGGAGGGGGGTCTGAGGGGAGCAGGACAGGGCAGAGGTCAACAGAGAAACCACAGTGCTGAGTGTGGGGAAGGGGCGGCTGTACTGTATAATGGGCACTGGGGACAGCAGAGGGTGGGGGTAGGGAAGGGCGGCTATACTGTATAATAGGGACTGGGGGCAGCAGAGGGTGGGGGTGGGGAAGGGGCGGCTATACTAGATAATGGGCTGTGATGAAGTGGGGGATTTTTTTCCTTGTTTTCCAATGGTTTGCATGCGGAGGGAGTGGGACTCAGTGTCCCTGGGTGTTACTGGTTTAACGAGGGGAGGGGAGAGGGAGTTTGTTGTTGCAGAGGACCGGAGAGGGAACTTGGGACCCCAGCTGATGGCCTGGAGGAAGGACACCCCAGCAACTGGTGACCTGACGACCCGGAGGCCCAGCTCAGGAGTCACAGCCAGTTCTGGCCAGTGGGAGGACAATGGGCTGCGGAGAGAGGACCCCGGTGACCTGACCAGCCGGTTCCAGCCAGAGGGGCCAGAGGACAGAAAAGGGGAGAGGAGGCCGAGGTGACCCTGTTTTACCTGGACAGAAGACAATGGCCAGAGGCCGGGCTTGGGGCCGGGGGTATCAGATGCCCAGCTGGGAAGCAGGGGGGCTCTGGGCTGGAGAGGGGGAGCAGGCAGAGCCCACCTGGATGCAGGGAGACTGGGATGTGCCGGGCTGAGGGAGGCCAGGCCTGAGGCCCGGAGAGTTTCCTGTGCTGTGTTCAATGCTCAATAAACCTCCTGTGTGACGCTGTCTGAGAGTCGCTCCGGTCTAGAGAACAGGGCGGGGACGGGGGGGGGGGGGGCCCCCCCCTCCCGGGGGGGGGGGCCCCGGGGGCCAGAGGGAGGGGGCTCCCCGGGGGGGCCCACGGCGAGAGACAGACGTGCTAAGGCTCAGAGAGGTGGGGCTCCAGGAGGTGGAGGGGCCTGACCCCGAGAGAGAGTGGACCCCCGAGAAGGGCTGTCTCACTGGAAGGGGCACCCCCCACGGACCGCATGGGGCCAAGAGTGGGCACAATCTGTGAGTCCGTGACATGGGCACTAGGGGCAGCAGAGGGTGAGGGGTGGGGAAGGGGCGGCTATACTGTATAATGGGCACTAGGGGGCAGCAGAGGGCGGGGGGGGCTGTCTATAACGTAGAATGGGGGCTGTGGGTGTCTGTACCAGTCACGCTCAGTGGCACCGGCTCGCTGGGGGGTGAGCGGAGGTGGCGCCCGTGGAGCTCTGAGCTGTACCGGCACCGGTAGGTCCCGCTGTCGCTGGGGGTGATGTTCAGGGGGAACCAGGGCCCCAGTTGCTCTCGAAGTGTCTCCCCGTCTCTCAGCACCCAGTGGGCCCGCGGGATGTAGGGCCCAGCGGGGACAACGCACTCGGCCGTCACCGTCTCCCCCGTCACGTAGAGCAGGAGGGGTGGGATGAGCCGCAGGGACGGGGCGGCCAGTGCTGGGAACACGGAGACAGCGACGGGGTCGCTGGCATAGGAGAGCACTTCCCTCCCCTGGATCAGCTCCACGTAGGTGCAGGCGAAGGACCGGGTGGCGTTTCTGGTGCCATTGGCTTGAAGATCCTTCTGCCAAGATGAAGCGTTTCCCAACTGAGATCCTAGTGGCTCCCCATTCTCGTAGAGCCCGTACTTCACCGGGGAGGCACCAGGGGGAGCCGAGCAGTTAATTTCCAACCTGTCTCCAGCCACGTAGGCCGGATAGTCCGGAGACAGGGACCCCGAGGGCTTCCCAGGGGGATCTGGGGAGAGAAACGTGCCTCAATCTCGGCCTCCTGCCTGAGAGGGTCTCCGAGCAGCCCAGGGGGGAGCTGAGGACAGCGGGTCTTTGCCCCCCTAGCTCCTGCAGGAGGCCGGCCCAGGGCATCCCACCCCCAATGGTCAAAAACCTTCTCCCCATGGCCAGCCCCCAGCGAGCCCAGCCCAGCTCATCTCATCTCATCCCCTTTGTTCTCTTGCCTCCTTTGGCCGCCATCGCTCAACCCCTCCCCTCCTCCTGGCTCGGTGGAGCTCAGCTGGGGGACGGTTCACCCCAGCCTCTCTGGGGTTCAGCGCGCAGGGGAATGGGGTGTAGGGGAGCCAGGGACGGGGTGCAGGGACGCAGGGGGCACAGGGCAACAGGTGCAGGGATGCTGGGGGATGGAGGGCAGGGATGCAGAGGTGATGGGAAATAGGGTGCAGGGGGAAAGGGTGCAGGGGTGTGGGGGATGTGGCACAGGGGGATGGGGTGTAGGGGAGCCAGGGGACAGGGTGCAGGGACGCAGGGGGTGCAGGGGCGACATGAGTTGGGGTGTGGGGGATGGGGTGCAGAGGTATGGGGTGCAGGTGGATGGGGTGTAATGACACGGAGACGGGCCGGCTCTCCCCGGATGGCACCTCTCGCCCGGCGCGCAGTGTCCAGTACACACAGACGTACAGCCCGACCGTCCCCGTCTCAGCCCTGAGCTCCAGCCGGGCGCCCCCAGTCGGCTCAGGGACCCCGTCAGCGATCAGCCCCCCTCACTGTCTGTAGAATCTGTACCCAGCCACCCCCTCACCCCAGGGAGCCGAGCACCTGCGGGTCACCCGCTCCCCTGGGCCATACACGGGGTGTGGGGGAGCCAGAGTGAGCCAGGGGGCAGGGGGCGGCTCTGAGGTAGATGGAGAGAATGGGGTGGGGGAGAGGGAAAGAGACAGCTCGGATGAGACCCCCCAGCTCATTTGCCAGTGAGCCCAGAGACGGGTCCTGCCCCCCAGTAAGCCTGTGCCCCCAAACCCCCCCATTCGCCCCCTGCAGCCCAGCTCCCCGGGGTTGCCAGCACCAGAGCTGGTGTCACGGGGCAGCACCCGGTTAGATCGCCAGTGAGAGGTGCCCCCCCGGGTGGCTCTGATCCCCCCCCCAGCCATGCCGGGCCACTCACAGAGCTGGGTGCGTCCCTATGACCAGCACCACCCGCCGTGGGTCAGGCTGTGGGAGCCGATGGATTCAAACCCCAGGGTCGAGCCCCATGGCCCGGGCCCCACCCGTGGGCACCACGTTGCACCAGCACCTCCTGCTGTGTGACTCCGGGTCCGTCCCGGGGCAGCCGGGGGAGGCTGGGGTGTAGCGGGGTCAGAGGGGGACGGTGCGGGGTTCCCATGGTGCTCTCGGGGGGCTGCGATCTCACAGATGAGGCAGCCTGAGGGGTGGGAGGGAGAGAGATCAGAGCTGGCTTGGGGATGGGCTATGGCAGTGGGGGGCAGGCTGGGAAGGGGCGGGCGGGCAGGTGGACAGTGCTGGGGGATGTTCTTACGTCAGAGTCGGGGTGGGCTGGGTGAGCTGAAGGTTGGCTGACCGGGGTGTGCAGAGGAGCACGGGGGCGGCTGGTGTAGGCAGGGTGGGTATCTGGCAGAGATACCCAGGTACCGATCCCAGATCGCACCAGCCCCTCTCCCCACCGGATCTGCTGCTGTCTGTCTGCCTCCCTCCAAAGGGGCCCAGCCGGCCGGTCTCCCCTCTCTGCCTCCCTCTGGATCAGCCCCGTCAGTGGCTTCTCTCCCCCCGACCCAGTGCCACCCTCCGGAGGGACGTGCACTCACCCAGCACCAGGATGCGGACGGGGTGGCTTGGCCTGGATGGGATCTCCCGCCCCGATTCCAGGAACCGGTACCCACAGCTGTATGCCCCGGAGTGCGATGGGGCCAGGGGGGGCAGCCGAAGGGCACGGCTAAGGTTGAGTGGGTCAGGACCGGGTGCCTGGGAATCTAGGTTCTGACCCTCGAGAATCTGGATCCTCGACAGCGTTTGGCCCCTGGGAGCCGAGCACGTCAGGGTGACGGAGTCGCCGGGGATGTAGCCGGGATGGGACGGGGACACAGAGAGCTGGGGGGCAGCTGGGGGGACTGGGCGACATGGGAGAACATGAGACACAGGGAAGCCCAACCAGCTGGGGCAGCCGGGAAACACACACAGGGCAGGGCTCTAACCCTCTAGCAGGGGGCGCAGGGAGACACACACACACACACACACAGACACACACATACAGCAAGAGTAGGTTGTTAGCTCTCTCTCTCTCTCAGACACACACACACAGAGCAGGACTCAGTAGTAGGTTGTTATCTCTCTCTAACACCCCCCCCCCACCACACCAGCAGTAGTATGTTGTGGTCTCTCTCTCTGTCTGTCTCTCTCACACACACACACAGCTGGGCTCACAACCTCCAGCAGGGGACGCAGGGACACACACACACCGCAGTAGTAGGTTGTTATAAAATCATAGAATATCAGGGTTGGAAGGCACCTCAGGAGGTCATCTAGTCCCACCCCCTGCTCAAAGCAGGACCAATCCCCAACTAAATCATCCCAGCCAGGGCTTTGTCAAGCCTGACCTTAAAAACCTCTAAGGAAGGAGATTCCACCACCTCCCTAGGTAACCCATTCCAGTGCTTCAACACCCTCCTAGTGAAAAAGTTTTTCCTAATATCCAACCTAAACCTCCCCCACTGCAACTCTCTGTGTCTCTTTGACACACACACAAAGCAGGGCTCATCCCCTCCAGCAGGGGGCAACAGGGACACCCACACCCACACACCCCTCAGCCCCTCCAGCAGGGACACCTCCCCACCCAACCGCAGTTCATTGTGATGGTCGTGGGGTGGGGAAGGGGCGGCTATACTGTATAATGGGCACTAGGGGCAGCAGAGGGTGGGGGTTGAGGAAGGGCAGAGGAAGAAGAGATTTGTGTGTGTGTGGGTGTCTCAGCGCCCCCCCTAATCCCACTGCTCATTCAGGCTGTCTGGCACCACCTGAGATGTCGGGGGAGACCCCGGCGGGAGCATCCCAGGGGTCAGAGCCTCACCTGACACTGGTACAGTGATCCGGTTACTGTTCTCGGATGCAATCTCCTGCCCTGCCTCCCATCTCCAGTACTGACAGGTGTAGGTGCCGTCATTCCCGCTATGCGCTGTGAGTGCCATCTGGGCCCCCCCTCTGGCAGCTGGAAGCTCTTCAGGGGTCTGATCCCCTCTGTGCTGGTGGAACCTGAACCCCGCCACCTCCTCGCCACGGGGGGCTGAGCAGTTGAGGGTGACCTTCTCCCCGGGCAGGTACACAGGGAGCTTGGGATGCAAAGAGAGTTTGGGGGCCAGTGGAGGAGCTGCAATAGAGAGAAAGGGGTCAGTGCAGAGGGGCAACCCCCCAGAGTCAAGAGAAGTCGATATGGGGAGTCCAATGATCCCCCAGCCTGTGACATACCCCACAGAAAACACCCCATAGGGCAGATGACAATCCCCAGTCTGAGTGGAACGGCATCTCACAACTGGCAGAGCTGTGGGGGAACGGCTACAGCACCTAACCAAATAAGCACCTCAAAATACAACAGGCAAAATTCCTGGCGAGACTTCTGAGTGATTTACAAACGGAAGTGCTGAACTTTGAGCTGTTCAACTTGGAGCAAATGAGCCTTGACAGGCCCACATTTGGCAAAGGCGAGGATATGACGCCAGAAAGACCTGGTGGTCTCCATAAATTTCCCTACTTAGGAAAAATAAAGGTTACACTCCTGGATAACTGAGGACGAGACACAGGAAATGAGCTGCGGTGCTAAAGAGTGAAAAATGTGCTGAATGGTATAAATCAAGGCCGTGGTTTGGTAGTTTAATACTAATCGTTCATGACGATGGATGTTGAATGGTCTTTTTCATCTTCTGTCCTTCCCCCACAATCATGGGTATTTCCAGTGCTGGGCACATGCTATGGCCCAGTGTGTAGATCTTCCCCCAGGAGCCGGCAAACCAACAGATGTTCCCTAGTTTGTGTTTGCCGCAGTCACATGTGTCTGGGTCACTGGACTAGCCCCACTTCCACAGATTGACTTTGGACCTGCCAACTTTTGTTCGGAGATGATTTAAAGATCTCCAGGTCGACCAATCCTTCACTCCTCTGGGGAGGCATTCGGCAAATCGCTCTACATTCTGACTAGGTTGGTGAGTATTTCAAGTCGTGTGTGCCATGTTTCCAGTTGTGTGGCCGTGGATCTTTTTAAGCAATTCCATTACAACTAGGAAGCTTTTCTGTGATTTCAGGGCCACCATTGGCCATGTACTGGATGTCTGGGATGGCAAACGCATGCACATCACGGCCCATGTCAGACTGTCTCAATCTGCGAATCCTGCTGAACACCTACCACTGCAATATGTGGAATGGGAAAAATAAGGGCTGTTTTATTAGTTTATTCTTCATAGTTCATAACAATGTAGGTTGAATGGTAAAAGAATCATGGAGTTATGTTGGTGTAATGCCAGTGATTTATAACAACATAGAAGAATGAAAATAACTTATGTACGTTTGGGTAAATGTATAACTGGAGACATGGGATGACAGACATAGAAGGACAAATTAATGTATAAAAAGAAAGTGACCGAGGGCCCAAAGTGGAGAACACTGGTCCAGAGACTGAGACAAATTTGGAAACTTGGGGCCCTACCTGTTCAGTCCGATCTGGCTTATTGTTTGATCGATGGAAGGAGTAGGGGGCCTCTCCAGAACACACATGCCAAGGGCAAAGGGGTGCTGGAGACAGGGCTGGACTCACCAGTCACAGTGATGGAGACGGATTCACTCTTCCCTGACAGGATCGCTTGTCCAGATCGGATTATCCAATAGGCACAGGAGTACGCCCCAGCATTCCCAGTCATAGCCGTGCGCTCCAGCCAAGCCCCCTCATCCAGCTCAGAGATCTGCTCCCCTCTTTGATGGTAGAATCTGTATCCCTTCATCTGCTCGCTGCCAGGAACTGAGCAGGTGAGCTTGATACGTTCCCCCTGAAAATAGATGCGTTTCGGGGGGTCCAGAATGATTTGGGGGGCTGGCAGGGGGCGTGGGACACCTGGAGAGAATGAAGAGCACAGAAAACAAGGAGAGAAATGGAAGGGATCTGAATGAAGAGCACCTGGCTGATTGTGCAAATAAAATGGGGAGCTGTCACATACCCCTTGGGCAAGCGAGGTGGAGAAAGAGCCCCAGAGATTGACTGTCCAGCCCCCTGAGGTCGACCATCCAGTTGCCTGGTCTCTCCTTGCCATGGGATGCTGTGATGGCCAAAAGCACATCTGGGTTCCCAGAAGTACTGGATCCATTCATGGAGGACAGGTCCATCAATGGCTCTTAGCCAAGACTGTCAGGGACACAACCCCATGCTCGGGGTGAGGCTGAACCTCTGACTACTACAAGACACGATGGAAACCTGGGCGGGATCCCTCCATAATTGCCCTGCTCTGAAGCTCTGGTATGGGCCACCATTGGAGAGAGGCTACTGGGCTAGACAGACCAGGGACCAGCATGGCAGCTCTTATGTTCTGATGCTGGTCCCTGCTATCACATGCTGAGAGAAAGGGGCCTCACCTGTGACTGTGATGGAGATGGGCTGGCTCTCTAGGGAGGAGATCTCCTGCCCAGGTTCGGCTACCCGGTACATACAGGTGTACGAGCCAGAATCCTCCATGCCGAGTCTGCCAATCTGGTAACTCTGAGAGTCCTCCAGCACCTGTCTTGTGCATGCCACTTGTTCCCCGGCCTTGAGGAAGCAGAACTGCATCTTCTTCTCCCAGCTGGGAGCTGAGCACGTCAGGGTAACAGAATCTCCGGTGGTGAACTCAGGACCCGTTGGGGACAGCCGCAGAGTTGGACGAAAGGTTTCCGGGAGCACAGAAGGCCCTGAAGAGAGACAATGGGGACTGAGCCCTCCAACAACCCCCAGTGCTATGGAGCTCCCGCCACCCAATATCAGGAGATGGCTGATGTGTCCAAAGGGAGATGACTCTCATGTTCATTTGCTACCATGCCATATTTCCCTCCCTGGTCACTAACGTTTCTTCCCCAACCCAGAGATGTTTTGTTTGAGGAGCATCAGCTCTGGGTTCACCCACTTTTCATTTACTGATTGTGCCGAACTGGGACTGTTTTTAATGTGGTCTTTGAATGCTGAGAGGGGAGTGTGGCTGGGAAGGCAGGGGAGTGTGGCTAGGATGGTCTGCATTGGGGGATGGGAGACTGGCTGTGAGGGAGAATACCTGAGCATGTAACGTGAGAACCCAGGAAGGGGTTAGAGGCCAGGTGACACCTTTGCCTGGGAAACTGAACAAAGGCTGGGGAGAGAGGTTCAGAGCTGGCTGGGGGAATGGCTGGGAGGCAGACGGGACTCTGACCTCCCAAGGGGGCTGTGGTGCTCTGGGACCCCAAGATGCACCTAATTGGGGGGGTCCTGTTGTCTGTACCTGCAGGACCTATCCTGGACTGTGTTCCTGTCGTCTAAATAAACCTTCTGCTTTACTGGCTGGCTGAGAGTCATGGTGAATCGCAGGAAGCCGGGGGTGCAGGGCCTTGTGTCCCCCCACACTCCGTGACAACTGGCAGCAGCGGTGGGATCTACTGCACCCCGTGGATGGCGCTTCCTGCAGTAAGTGACTGGGGAGCAGTAAAACGAAGGGGGATCGACGGGGACCAGGTGGGCTGAAGAGTCAGAGAGAGACGGTTATCACCCCTGGGAGTGTGTGACCAGAGAGAAGGACTTTTGCAGTAACAGGGTCCCCCGGGGGATTGCAGCGAGCGGTCCCAGGGGTGGAGGAGTCTGCAGCTCGACCCTGGCAGAGAGGTAGTGACCTGAAGAAGGGCTGGCACCCTAGGGGTTCCCCTGGAACGGTGGAAAGCGGAGAGCACAGGCCGGCGAGTGGCCAGCCGGAGGATGTATGCTAAACGCCTTAAGAGCGACCTGGTAGAGCTGTGCAGGCAGAGGGGGCTGCGCATTGGGAGGTCCACCAAAGAACAGCTAATTGCCCAGCTGGAGGAGAGGGGTCGCTTGGATGAACCGAGCCCTGACCCTGAGGGAAGCCGCCCGGCGGATGCAGCGTGGGCCCCGGGGCCTGACATGGCTGGGAGGGGTCAGACTGCTTCCGAGGACATCCCGAGACCCTGCCTACCTATACCTAGGGGAGGGGTTGGGGGAAGCCCAGCGAATACCGAGGGCACCCTGACCCCGGCGGCCAGCAGGGGATCGTCCTGGCGGAGCTCCCCGTCCCTGGAGCGGAGGCGGCTGGAATATGAATGGAAGATGAGACGAGAAGAGCTTGAGTTAAGGAAGCAAGAACTGAAGCAGGAGCGGGAAGAGAAGAAGAAACAACGTCAGCATGAGCGGGACCAACGTCAGCATGAGCTGGACCAACGTCAGCCTGAGCTGGAACAGGCCAGGCTGAGGGGCAGCGAGCCCCCGGCTCCGGTGAGTGAGGGGGGACCCAAGACTGCAAAGAGCTTTGATAAGTGCTTCCTGGCCCAGCGTAAGGAGGGGGAGGACATGGATACCTTCCTGACGGCCTTTGAGAATACTTGCGAGCTGCACTGGGTTGACCCTGCAGACAGGCTCCAGTTTCTCATTCCCTCACTGGACTCCACAGCCAGGGAGGTGTACAGCCGACTGAAAGGGGCAGAGACAGGGGACTACGAACGGTTCAAAAAGGCCCTGCTCCGCGAGTTTGGGCTGACCCCTGAGATGTACCGGAAAAGGTTCCGGAGTCAGCGTAAAACCCGTGAGGTCACATACCTACAACTGGCCAACCGGGCGCAGGGGTATGCCCGCAAGTGGACAGCTGGGGCCCAAACTAAAGAAGACCTGCTTGACCTATTCGTACTGGAGCACGTGTATGAGCAGAGCCCATCCGACCTGAGGCGATGGTTGATGGACCAAAAACCAGAGAACCCGCAGTACGCAGGCCAGCTGGCCAACGAGTTTGTGAACAGCCGGGCAGGGGATAACAGGGAGGAGTCCCAAAGGAACAGTCCCACCACAACGCAGAGAGAGGGTCACCATGGGACCTCCCAGTGGGGAAATATAGAGAACCGCCACCAAAGGGGAACATCCAACGTCAGGTCCATCCGACCCGCTCGAGGGGACCTACGGGACATGGGCTGCTATCACTGTGGCCAAAGAGGCCACATAAGGGCCCAGTGCCTCAGGCTCAGGGACAGACTGAGCGGACCCAACCCACAGAGGGTTGACTGGGTAGAGACCCAGCCGGACGAGGGGCAGCATTCCCAGGCAAGGGGGGCTGGCAGCGTACCACCTGCTAAGAATTGAGGAGAGCTCCAGACCAGCTCCTCTGGGGGTCTGGATGCTCCAGACTCAGGGTTTTTGGTTTACAGGGTAGGCGCGGGGCTGTCCCTCCAGAGAGAGTACCTTGTTCCCCTGGAAGTGGATGGGAGGAAGGTCAATGGATACTGGGATACGGGTGCAGAGGTGACGCTGGCCCGGCCCGAGGTGGTGGCCCCAGATCGGGTGGTGCCCAACACCTACCTGACCCTGTCGGGGGTGGGCGGGACCCCCTTCAAGGTGACCGTGGCGAGGGTACACCTGAAGTGGGGGGCCAAGGAGGGCCCCAAGGACATGGGGGTACACCCGTATTTGCCCACTGAGGTGTTGAGGGGGGGACCTGGAGGACTGGCCAAGCAACCCCCAGGGTGCCCTGGTTGAGACCCGTAGTCAAAACCGGCGAGGGGCACTGCACCCTGGCCTTGGGGAGGGTATCTTGCCCGAGGCGCAGGACCCTAACCCGGTGGGGAGGGAACACCCAGGGACACGGCTCAGGGAGGCTGCGGCTTCAGACCCAGTCGGCGAGAGAGAGCAGGTGGCCATCCCTGTCCCAGCTGCTGAGTTCCAGGCCGAGTTGCAGAAAGATCCCTCCTTGCGGAAGATAAGGGACCTGGCCGACCTCGGTGCGGTACAGACCATGGGGAGAGGTGGCTGGAAAAGGTTCCTGTGGGAGAAGGGGTTCCTGTACCGAGAATGGGCTCCCACAGGGAAAATGGACTCGGGGGGATCAGGAGGCAGCTGGTGGTACCCCAGAAGTATCGCTGCCAGCTGCTGGGCCGGGCCCATGACATTCCCCTCTCAGGGCACCAGGGAACCTGGTGTACCCAGCAGAGGCTGCTACGAAACTTTTACTGGCCTGGGGTCTTTGTTACTGTCCGACAGTACTGCCAATCCTGTGACCCCAGTCAGAGGGTGAGGAAGGCCTGGGACAAGGGGAAAACGGCTTTAGGACCCTTGCCCATCATAGAGGAGCCTTTCCAGAGGGTGGCCAGGGTCAAAAGAGGGGCTCTGAACCAAGAGAGCCCGAATCACACAGACCTCCAGACTGGAGCGCTGGGAGAAGACCCCAGCCCAGTTGGAACCCCAGGGTTATTGGGGTGGGAAAAGGGCACGGGCCACATAAACCTTCCCGCATGTGAACTATGAGTGTCATCGAGCAACCCCGACCTAAAGGGGGGCGGGAAACTGGAAGGGCCTGGTCTAATTCTCCCCAAGGAATGGGAGGGTTGTTGGAGCATCCACGGGAATGGGGGTAGGTTCGAACTTCCCCAGGTCACTGGCTGAAGTGACCCCGCTCAGTTCGGTCTCGAAGGGGGGAGAGATGTGACGAACTGGGGACTGTTCTTAATGTGGTTTTTGAATTCTGACTGGGGAGTGTTGGCTCGGAAGCAGGGGAGTGTGGCTAGAATGGTCTGCACTGGGGGATGGGAAACTGGCCGTGAGGGAGAATACCTGAGCATGTAACGAGAGAACCCAGGAAGGGGTTAGAGGCCAGGTGACACCTTTGCCCGGGGAAACTGAACAAAGGGGAGAGAGAGTTTCAGAGCTGGCTGGGGGAATGGCTGGGAGGCAGACAGGACTCTTACCTTCCAAGGGGGCTGTGGTGCCCTGGGACCCCAAGATGCACCTAATTGGGGGGTCCTGTTGTCTGTGCCTGCAGGACCTATCCTGGACTGTGTTCCTGTCGTCTAAATAAACCTTCTGCTTTACTGGCTGGCTGAGAGTCATGGTGAATCGCAGGAAGCCGGGGGTGCAGGGCCTTGTGTCCCCCCACACTCCGTGACACTGATTTTCTCCGTTTTGTTGCCCGTTTCAGGGAAGGTTGATTGGTCTTTAAAGACCATCAGGTGACGCTCCTGGGATAAGGCAGGTTTGAGCCGACAGCTAACCCAACAGGCCAACCTGTGTGCGGTCTCTTTGGAGACAGTGAATTTAATAATTCCTGTGAGTCTCCCAGCAGCAGGACTGGGAACTGCATGGAGATGCCTCTGGGGACACCGATTGGGACCTGCAAAGCCAGGTTTGGACTGGCAGATCTCAAGGAGTTTGCCGGCAAGGCCGACAGGTGGGAATGTCAGGGAGGTGACGGACATTTCAGCAGCACCACAGCTCTCCCTTGCTGAGGAGAGCGTCACAGGGACTTAGTTGCTAACACGACCTCCCTTGACAAACCAGCTCTCCTGGACAGGAGCTCTCTGATTGCCCAGAGCAATCACATTGCAATGGCCGAGCATTTTAACTCAACGACCCTCTGGTGCGATTCTGTTCCCACCTTCCTTCAGAAGTTCATTCGAAGATGGAGACCAACTGACCACAGCGAAGGTAAAGAATCCCCCATCCAAAGTGGAGTCTGCAGTCTGGCCCAGATACCAACCCCCCAATATCAGACAGGATTCATCAGCTCTACAGACAGATTGCTCAGTCCATCACAGACATACCAGTCAGTAGCCCACAACACCTCCAGTCTGCAGGCCAGATGTCTGAACAGCCATCGCCTGACCCAAGAGGTGTAGATGGAAACATGACTCACCTGTCAGATGGATTGAGAGGGGAGCACTCGGCCGTGACTGGATCATTCTCCCTGAGACATTGATCTCATAGCTGCAGGTGTAAGTGCCGGTAGCGTCCAAATCAGATTGACGGAGCTGGAGACGGGCACCCGGCTGTGAGACAATGACATTCCCCTGCCTCAGGAACTGGTACCCTGTAGCCACGTGTCCCAGAGGGGCCAAGCATTCGATGGTAACAGGGATCTTCCCGGGGGGATCAGAATTCGCAGAGATGGATGGAGCAACAGGGAAATCTGTGAAGAGCAACAACAGGAGAGAAGAGGGAGTGTTAATGTACCGAGAGTGTGGAAATAGCAGAGCAATTGGTGATGAGGAAGTGGGGTCTAGAGATCAAGTCAAGGCATGGCTGGGAGCCAGGACTCCTGGGTTCCGTCCCCGGCTCTGAGAGGGGAGTGAATTTCAGTTCTTGAAAACTTGATAAAACTAGAAGGAGGAGAACCAGGCAGTGAAACTGAGCTGATGCCCTTGACAGCAGTTAGATTGCTGGTTGTGTCTCAGCCACTGTAGGGGGAGATATGCCAGTGACCCCAGCTCAACCAGCCCTAGGAAACAGATGCACCAGTCGCTAGGGCCAAGCAGGGATGGCTGCGCTCCGAGATGGTCTCCCACCCAGGTTTATGCTTTTGGGATCCCCATCACAGCCATGAGCCCCAGCTGAGCACCCCTGTTCTGAGCAGGGAGATCTGCAGAGACCTGCATCCTGATTTAATCGCAGAAGCCATATCTCCCTCCTGGGAGCCGAGCACCGGAGAGTAACATGCTCCCCAGGTAGATAGACAGAATGCTTAGGGGCTAGAGAGAGCGTGAGGGCCGTCTGCCCCCTGCACCCCAAGGGGCTGTCAGAAAGCGTCCTAGGAGATGCTGGTTCAAACCGGGCTCCTTTAGGGCCTGATGAGGTGAAAGGAAGAGGCCCCCGGCTTGCACTCCAGAGGCCGTGCTCACGCAACGTGGCCGGCCCAGTGCTTGTGGTGGGACCACGCGGACAAAATATACAAAGTAAATAGCCTGAAATAGATCTCAGTCATCATTGTTCTTACTTTGCCTAGTGGTAAATTTCAGTTATGAAGGTTGGAAATATTTCTCTGTTGTGTTGTGTGTGGGCAGCGAAATCGGTGTTTACTGACAAAAATCGAATGCAGAATGGACTCCCGTTCTGGACTATGTCTGCCAAGATGCACAGCGGTCACCCCTCTAGTTGAACTGCTGCAATGCAACAGGGGGGGCTTAGTTCTGAGCGGGGGGCTGGCCAGGAACGGAGAATGGGGCCATGAAACACCAGAACTGAAACTCCCATCAGGCACCACAATCACTCCAGGCAGATACAGGATACGAACAGAGCCAAAAATAAAGCCTTTTGTTTCAAGAAGGAGGAAAATGTCTCATTCCGATCCACAATGTTTAAATGAAATGTTTTGACATGTCCGCAATGAATTTCAACCCTCCCCTCCCATCCCATGCAAGGACTTTGGAGGACTGAGTGAGAATTCAAAGAACCACAAGCACTATTCAACAATGTGCCGTATTTGCAGTTAAAGGCCAGAAGGGACCATCATGAAGCTCCTTCAAGCCAGAATCAAACCAGTGACCTAAAACTTAGCCACGTTCTTGAAATCTACAGTCCACCTCACCACCAGCTCAGGTGCTGAGGAATCTCTAGAGCTCAACAGGTTTAGCTTAACCAAGGTGTAGTGGGGTGGTTATCTGCTCCTGCCCGGGAGGGCTTAAACCAGCCCTTCGAGAGGGCTGGGGCAGGGGGAAAAGCTGGGCTGATTGGGGGAAACAGCCTCAGCTGTGGCCACGCCCCCAAACAGACCCAGCTGGCCCTATACAGGCCAGGGAAGCCAGGAGCAAGCAGGTGTAGGTGTCTGTAGAGGGAGAAGGGCCTGGCTGCTGCAGGATTAGCAGGAACCTAGATTTGGAGCAGGCCTGGGGAAGGGCCAGAGGAGCTGGGAGCTCCGGCCTGGAAAGCCCCAGGCTGCAGGCCTGCTAACAGGTCTATTAGGTAATGGGGTTGCAGGGGACAGCCCATGGGTAGACAGAAGCAGCAGGTCCAAACCCCACTTTGCCTGTGATGAGTGGTGTACACTGCAGTCCACCCCAGTGAGCGGGGGCTGGACGGGGACTGGCAGTAGCCTAAGGCTGAGGTGAAGTGGGGATTGTGGGTGGGGGTTCCCCTGGGAGGGGGAGACCCTGAGACTGAGGGGTTCTGCAAGGGGGGGCAGAAACCCAGTGAAGGGGCACCAGGTCCTGGGAGGGACACGGGGGCCAGAGTGAGGTAAGGCGGATCACCGGCCTGCAGAGGACGCTCCGGAGCTGGGATGAGCTAATTCCCACCGACAACCAGCAGGAGGCGCTGCAGGGGTGATTCCGCCCCCCCTACACAAGGTGAAGGGGTGATTTGATTGCGGTCTATAAGTACCTAACGCGACGACAGAAATCTGATACCACAGGGCTTTTCAATCTGGCAGCCAAAGATCTAACAGGATCCAACGAATGAACGCTGAAGCTAGACAAATTCAGACTGGGAATAAGGTGGAATAAGGGAGGCCAGGGGAATTCACCACCGGAACAACGTACCCACAGTCATGGTGGATTCTCCCTCGCTGGCTATTTTTAAAACTAGTTGGATGTTTCCCTAGAAGATCTGCTCCAGTTCAAACAGGAATTACATTGGGGACTGCCAATGGAGACGGGACTAGGTGATCACAGTGGCCCTTTCTGGTTTCAGAATCTGTGAAATGGTTTTGGTTTGTTTGGGGGGGTTCATTATTTTTTTGGTGTAGGTGGAGCGAAGGTAAGGAGACCATCCATCAAGGGTAAGACCCTGGGGGTGGAAGTGAGCAGGCTGGTGACCCTCCCCACACATGAGGGACTAGGCTGGGGTCTCACATGTGATGGGGACGGGGATCCCCTATTAGATAGCAGGAGAAAGGGGACTCACCCAGTACTGGTACCAGGACAGGCTGGCTGCGCGCAGAGTAGATGGGCCGCCCGTCTCTCACTGCCCAGTACTCACAGCTGTACGCCTCGGTCTTCCCCGTCTCAGCCGTCAGGACCAGCCAGGGCCCCCCGGACAGGCCAGTAGTTTCTGTGTCGACCCGCTCCTCGCGCTGATTGTAGAACTGGTAGCTCTTCACCGCCTCCCCGCCAGGGGCCGAGCATCTGAGGGTGAGACGCTCCCCCGGGACGTACACAGGGTGCTGGGGGTCCACAATGACTGTGGGGGCTTGCAGGGGGGCTGAGGAAGGGCAGAGAGATTCAGCAGCTGTTACACTCCCCCAGCCAAGTGCTGCCTCCCAATTCCTGCCCCCCTTGGCTGTAGCCTGCAGCCTGTCGCAGCTCTCCGTTCCTCCCACACAACAAGACACCTGGTGTCTGCCCCCCATAGGCCCCAGAGCTCTGGCTTCATCCCTCCTGGCTTCACACCTGCCCCTGTGCTCCATGGGGATGGGGCAGGAGCCACTGTCACCTCTAGGGGGTTCTGGTTCCCACCTGGCCACACCACACGTCACGGGCTCCGCCAGGCATGGAGCAGCTCTGTCAGCTCCGTGAGGGCGCTGAGATGAGGGAAGTGGAAGTGGGGGTGGGGAGATGAGAGGAGATGGCAGCTAGGGAGAGAGACCTCCCCCATGGAAACCCCCAGGCTCAACCCCCCCTCCCGGCTTGCAGCCAGCATTGCTGAGATTTCACTCTGCATGTGGCCCTGGGGCCGGGTTAGAGTCTGTTTTTGGGGTGCTCCATTTCAAGCAGCTTACAGGAGTCTGGTTCTAAGCAGGGGGGTGGGGTGGGGTGGCTGAACCCTATCAGAGAATCCAGCCCCTATAAGGCCTCCAGAGGACCCCAGAAAACGGAGCCCCCCACAAATTACCAGTCACTCTGGGAAGTCTTTCCAGGGCCCCCTGCAGGTCCTGAAGCTGGGAGCCGAGTGGAGCATAAACAGAGTGAGATGCACTCAGAGGTGCGGTGGGGTGGGAGGTCCATGCACATGATGCCTGGGATGGGGGGGGGTCCCTGCACACAGTGCCTGGGACCCCACAGTGAGAATCCAGGCACACAAGCGAATACTGGAATCAGTGTCCCCTGTCTGGTCCCATTCCCCACCCCTCTGGGGCAGGATCGGAGCTAGCCCCCCTGCTAGGTGAAAGGCCCCATGTCCCATTCTCTGACCCAACCAGCCAGGCCCCCCGCCATGGGGCCAGACTGGAACTTGAAGTCTGCCCCATCGGGTGACCCCCTTTCATGGAGGGGACCCACCTGGACGGACAGCTGGGGTGTGTCTGTGGATCGGGTCCCTCCTTACCTGCAGGTGACACCAGCTGGGGAAGGATCTGGAGAGAAGCTGAAGGAGAGAAGAGACAGGGAGTGAGTGCTCTGGGGACGGCACAGGAGGGAAGGCCGCACAGCCGTTCACTCCACTTTCCCCCTCCCTCCATTGCTCACTGCTTTCCCCCTCTCCCCTGCTTCCTGTGTGAGTCAGGAGGGACTCAGCTGCAGAGCCGGGGCTGGGAGCTGCAGGCACCTGATGCAGGTAGGAGGTGGCCCTGGCTGAGTAGAGGCTGACACGGGTGATGACTTGGTACCTCCCACACCTGCAGTAACCGGACTCTGGGTGTCCATTCAGTAGATCTGACTGGACACGGTCAGGTCCCCTTTTCGACTGGACTTTCCGGTGAAAAACCAGACAGGTGGCCACCCCACGGTGGACGTGGTATTCCAGTAGCCATCACACCAGTGCCAAATGAGAGGGGAGGGCCCTGAAGAACACTCTGACGTGGGTATCAGCTGCTGCCACACCTGGTACTCAGGGTAGACCGGGCACCCGCCCTAACTCCTAGTTATCGCCTTCCCCACTCTCTCCGCACAAGACCCCGGCAGCAGCTAACCCTGTCGTCCCCCGCCAGTACTACCCCTTCCCACCTAACCCCTCATCCCCAATTCTGATCTAGGCCACAGAGTACCCAGTAGGAGGTGCTCATGGGGTTAATGACACCATTTGCCACAAGGCAGCAGAGATGCCGTTGAAGAGTGGGTTGGGGTACGGGGGGCTGTTGGGGGGGCACAGGGATCCGCTGAGGGGGGGTGGCAGGGCCTTTTCGGTGCGTGTCTATTGCACACTGAGGCTGGGCTCTGATTTAGCTCTGAGCCCCAGCTCCCATTCCGTCCACACACAAATAAGCCTGACCCAGGTCCTAGGGCCCCACTGGGGGTGTGGGTTGGAGGCCAAGTCTCACAGTAATTCGGGTCCCAGCCCCGTCGCTTTGCAGTGCAGATGTGGCCCAAGGTCTGCAAGGTGCAATACGGACGTGTTGGCATGGCAGAGAGATCCGGGCCCAGCCCTTGGAAACCCAGGTTCACGGTGCAGGGCGGACGCTCACACGTGGGCTTGGACCCAGAGTCCACCAGCCCGGGTCCCACAGACGCCGACTTAGCGTGCCGTGAAGACGCGTCCTGTGGGATCACTTGTTAACCGAGGGAGTATTTCTCATTCTACGTTCTGTCGTTTCCTCCCTTTGGTCTCTTCCACCCCCTCCATCTATTTCAGCTCCCCCGCTGCCCCCCACTTTAGTCCTGGATCCCCCACAGCCCATGTATCTCCGAGGGGAGCACATTGCCCTCCAGTGCACGGCCCCCCAGGCAGATGGGAAGAGACGATACAGATTCTTCAAGCAAAGCGAGGAGCAGAACCCAAACGAGCTTCCCCACAGCTGCCAAGGAGGGCGCCCGGCTGGAGCTCGGCGCTCAGCTGGGGACCAGCGGGAGGTACACCTGGGGTATTGGTTATACTGCTCTGAACGATGGATCCCCTCTGGGAAGAGTCCACCCGTCTCTGTGTCACTGACAGGTGAGGTGTCCCTCTCGCACAGATAACATGGGGGCAGAATGGGACCAAGAGGCTGCTCCTTCCAGTCCCTTCCCCATAATGAGACCCCAAATCCCTGCTCCCCTGACGCATGCACTGCAGACCCAGGGGCTGTTGAGGGTCCATGCCACAGGGAAGCCTCTAGACACAGCACGGGGGCAGAGCTTACATCGGTTGGGTGGAGAAGACGCCCACTCTTCCACCGGCCCGGCCAGGGAGGACGTTGGCCCCCTGGCTATGTTACCCTACCTCCAGGTCAATACCGGGGCTCCTGTTCTTGGCTGGACCCCTGCGATCCAGTCTGTAGCAGGGGTGAGTCTGGCCCAGAGAGTGCAGTGCTCACCTGAGGCACTGTGGTCAGGAGACACAGGAAGTGGGGGGAGAGGACAAGAGATGGAAACAGCCCATCGCTCAGCCAGCCACTCGCCCCCATGGGGAGACCAGATGGGAGCCGGTGCCTTCTAGAGGGGAAAGGCCCCGTGCCCCATTTCCCCCACCCGAGCCAGCCAGTCCCCCCTTCCAACAACGACACCCACAGACCCCCGTGCACAGACCAGGGGATGAACCGGGTCCCTCAATCCCCTCAGATGACACCAGCCGGGGGAAGATTTGCAGCCAGGCTGTAAGAGAGGCGACAAGATGGGGGTGAGAGCTCTGCGGTGGGACAGGTGATGGGGGGCAGGATCGAGGGGTGTGGAGCAAATGACTCTAGATACTGGATTTACAGACCATCCTGGTATGTTACGGGGAGCAAGGGGAAAGAAGGAAAGAAAAAGGGTCGGTGGATGGGGCCGGGGCTGGACACGGAGGAGGGTCGGGGGATGGGGCTGGGGCTGGACAAGGAGGTGGGTCGGTGGATGGGCCGGGGCTGGATGCGGAGGAGGGTCAGTGGATGGGGCCGGGGCTGGACATCAGGACACCTGGGCTCTGGTCCCACTAGAGCTGGGCCTGGGAACTTCTCAGGTTCGACAGCCTGACAGTGGGTCGCAGGCCGGGCTCCTGGCAGGCTGCAGGGGATCCTGGGCTCCCAGGCCTGCAGATCTGGGGCAGCCCTGCCAGGCCAGGCCTTCCCGCTGCCTGCCGGGGAGCTGGCCGGACCTGGAGCCTGGGAGCCATGGGGGAAAGCCCAGCACCTGGCAGTGCCCCCAGCAGGGCCGGCTCCAGCATTTCTGCCGCCCCAAGCAAAAAAAAAAAAAAAAAAAAAAAGCCGCGATCGCGATCGGCAGCGGCAATTAGGAAAAAAAAAAAAAGCCGCGATCGGCGGGGCAGTACAGCGGCAGGTCCTTTGCTCCTAGAGGGAGTGAGGGACCTGCCGCCCCCGAATTGCCGCAGGTGCCGCCCCTCTCCCTTGGCCGCCCCAAGCACCTGCTTGTTCAGCTGGTGCCTGGAGCCGGCCCTGGCCCCCAGACCCTGGCAGCTGCTGGGTGAAACTAACACGATTCTTGTCAGTTCCACTGTCTGTATTCACAAGGGGGGCCCTGATACCAGCCAGAGTCTGGGCAGCGCCTGGCCTGACGGGGCCTGTTGCTCTAGGAAATTCTCCATCAAACAACACACTTAGGCTCCGTGCTGCAGCTCCCTCCACAGCAGCAGACGCCGTACTGCAGGGCAATGGGGAAACTGAGGCAGGGCCCCACCCAGCAGAGAATAACCAGATGAAGGAAGGGGACGCCAGCCCCAGCGATCTCTAGGAAGGAGCTGCTGCCTTTGGGGAGCAGGGAAAAGCCCCTTGGAGTGGGACGCAGGCTGTTGTGAGGGGCGCCATCCGGAGTCTGCCTGTGTGCAACTGAACCTGCTGGAAACAGGCTCCGGTCCTGTTAATCTCCAAGGAACCCAGGCAGCTGAGGTGTGGAGAGCTGATGGAGGGAGAGAGGGAACGAAACAGGGGCTGAAGGAGGAGGGCAGAGGGTGACGAGCAGAGAAAGAACAGACACAGAGCGAATGAGACAGGAAAGAGGAGCAGTGCGGAGGTTGCATGGGATTTATTTATTGTTTCGCGGACACAGTCCGGTGAAGCCAAACCACAGCGTCTTATCAGCCTCGTTCAAGGCGCGAAGACCTGCAGAAAACGGAATAATTTTGCAGGACGTGTGTCCTGGTTTGGGGGACGGAAACAGAGCGGAAGGAAGAGG